CTAGGACACCAGAGCTTGACTGCCTTTCCTGGAGAATGTGTGTGTGTGTGTGTGTGTGTGTGTGTGTGTGTGTGTATGTGTATGTGTTCAGTTGCCAAGTCCTGTCTGACTCTTTGTGACCCCATGGACTGCAACATGCCAGCCCTCCCTGTCCCTCACCATCTCCTGGAGTTTGCCCAAGTTCATGTCCATTGAGTTGATGCTGTCATCCAATCATCTCATCCTCTGTCGCCCTCTTCTCCTTCTGCCTTCAATCTTTCCCAGCATCAGGGTCTTTTCTAATGAGTTGGCTGTCTGCAATAGGTGGCCAAAGTATTGGAGCTTCAGCTTCAGCATCAGCCCTTCCAATGAGTATTGAGGGTTGATTTCCTTTAGGATTGGCTGGTTTGATCTATTTGCTGTCCAAGGAACTCTCAAGAGTCTTCTCTAGAGTTCAAAAGCGTCAGTTCTTCTCCTGGACCGACACTTAGCTAATTAATCATTGTGGATATTTTCTGCGAACCCTTCTTTCCCAGGATAACTGAGACCGACCCATGTTGTGAACCTAAAGGAGCCTCACCTGCCTGAGCCTCTGTGCAGTCGCCATGAGTTACCCCTCTTTCTGTGGTACAGTTCCTGCCTCCTCCACTCCTTCAAGAGAATTATAATTACCTTGTAATTGCACATACAAAGCAAACATGTCTCTCCAATTAGTTAACACTAATAAAAGAAAGAAGATACACAAAGTAACACATCCCAACTTAATAAGCTCCATAAAAATCCAAACAAGTCATACAACAGTCATCTTTCCTATACTACAACCCCCTTTGAAGGCACTAGGGTCATGTTTCATTTTAAAGTGTCATTATAGCCATGGCTTTTCACAGAGTGAATTTATTCAAATTAACTATAATTATTTCCATTCACACCTTTGATGCCTGTATTGCTACAGGTTGACTAGCGTTGGGGGAGACTTCTAATCTTCCCTCCCCTTTCCCTTGCTTCCCTAATATTTCTGAGAGTGGCCTTCCTTCCTGCCACAACAGGGCATTCTGAATCATTAATGTATATATGTATATATTTATTTATTTGGCCTTTGCTTGTGGCTCAGCTGTTAAAGAATCCTCCTGCAGTGCTCCAGACCTGGGTTCGATCCCTGGATTGGGAAGATCCCCTGGAGAAGGGAAAGGCTACCCACTCCAGTATTCTGGCCTGGAGAATTCCGTGGACTGTATAGTCCATGGGGTCGCAAAGAGTCAGACACGACTGAGTGAATTTCACTTTCATATATTTATTTATGTTCCAAGGAATCCATTTTCTTTGGTGGAGAAGGTCTTAGAAACCAAAGTCTCAGCCCTGGGGTGCCCGCTGAGACTTGGGGATAGCAGACCAGAGGCTACTGTGGCTTTTGGGTCACTCTTGTCAGAAACAAGCCTGGAAATACTTTTTTATTTTTGAGATCTTAAGTTGACAGTCAATTCTTTCAGCTTGTTGTTTTGTGAACAAAGGTTAAGGATGCTGTTGTTAATCCTGTCTTGATGGGACTGGGTCACAGGCAGGAGACAAGCTAGGGGGACCGGGGAGGGCGTGGAGATGACTCTTTGGACAAACCTGGTTGGAGGCGGGAGAGAACTGGATGTAATAGGTGGACTTGGCTTTTTGTTTTCTTGTCCTTTTTATTAAAATGGGAGAGGCTCAGGGTGGAGCAGAAAGTGCTGCCGTGAGAGCTGTATCAATTAGGATTCTTCTGTGTTCAAGGGGAAAAGAATCCAGACCATCTGGTTAAACCAAGCTGTATAAAGGGGAAACCGAGGGCCAATCAGGCCGAGCCCTGACAGACACAGAGGCTCCAGGGATTTTCCCCGGCCTGTGTCTAGCCTCCGTGGGGACGGGCTGTGTTCCGAGGTGGGCCCTCCCTTCTTGTGGTGGCCAGGCAGCAACACAGCTCTGGTCTCTACACTCCTCCTCCAGAAGAAAGAGAGTACACCCCACACCCACACAGAAGAAAGGATACCCTTCTCTCCCAGACTTCCACAAAAGTCCCTAGGGGGCCAGGCTATGCTTCTCAGGCAGCACTTTATAGATGGGTAAACTGTGGCCAGCCCCCTCAAACTCCCCCAACAACTGCCCCAGCAGCCAGGCCAGCTCAGATGAGAGGAGACTTGGCCTCAGAGGCCACTGAGGACTTGGGATCTGGCAAACGGAAATTCCAGTCTCTGCCCACGTTAATGTGCTCTGTGAGCTTGGGCGGGCTTCCACCTCGGCCTCAGGATTCTCATCTGTAAGATGGGGGGGTGATGATGGCATGATCTCAGAGGGCTGTTGTTCAATTAGTCAAGCTGCAAGGCGGTAGATTCCCTGGGGACATCTGAGCACAGCGCTGGAGATGGCTTCCAGGAGAAAGCCATTGGCCTCTCGATTCCGGATTTCATTTTTTTTTTCAAGTTCTCTGCTAAGGTCCAGGTCCAGAGTTGGTCTCTACTAGGTGCTGGCCTGCCTTCAGCGCCTTTCTATACCTTGTGAATCTCACTTTTTCACAGGAAGAGGGCAGCCCTTAGACAGGCAATGGGACCCCCAAAGTCTTAGAACAGTTTTATTCTCATCTCTACTGTTTTATTCTAGGCTAGTGATAGTGGTGCTCCACCTAGGGCAGTAATATAAAGTTTCCTTTTAAAATAAGTTTATTAGAATCAAATAGCCAACATAAGGGGCTTCCCAGGGGGCGTTAGTGGCAAAGAACTCACCTGCCAATGCAGGAGACATAACAGATGCAGCAGGTTCTATCTCTGGCTCAGGAAGATCCCCTGGAGGAGGCCACCCACTCCAGTATTCTTGCTTGGAGAATGCCATGGACGAGGAGCCTGGCGGCTACAGTTCATAGGGTTGCAGAGAGTCGGACACGACTGAAGCGACTCAGCACACACACACAGCCAACATAAAGGAAAAGTATTGTAATATCAACAATGGTGAAGGGGTACAAGATGATCCATTCCACACACATTTGCTGAGTTGCCCAGTTAGTGTTTCAGACACCGTTTCAGGAGGAAATCACAGCAGGGAACAAGGATAATAAGTCAGCAGGAACCCCCTGCTCTGCGAACACATTCTAGGGCAGGGGGCTGGCAATAAAAAGAGTGCAGGAGAGAAACATGAAACAAGTGGCAATGCTGATAAGCGTGTGGGGGGGAGTGAGGAAAGGAAGGCGGTGGGGAGTGCAAGATAGGTGTGTCTGGAGGTCAAGGAAGTCTCACAAAGGAGCTGAACCTGGAAGCTTGAACCTGGAGAGAAGCAGCTGCAAGGATACAAAGTCAAGGCTGTTCCAGGCAGAGGAGGGGCAATAGCAAAGGCCCTGGAGGGCGTGAGCCAGCAGGGAGGCAAGTATGGCTAACCCAGCCCAAGGAGAGGAAGAGGGTGTGGCTGGAGGGCAGGGGTGAGGTTTTTTCTGACTTCGTGGGGAGCCTGTGGTGCACTGAACTCAGTGGCGGGGGTGGGGCAGAGGAGGGCTGTGAGCTGGATCTAGTTCTGCCATCGTCCATCCGGCTGCTGTTTGGATAGGGGGCTGGGGGAGGCAGGGATAAGAGTGAGAAGAGGCCCCTGCACTCAGACTGGGGAGGGGCTGGGGGCTTGGACAAGAGGGTGGGGTGAGAAATGTCAGATTCCGGGGGTGTTTTCAAGGTGAAGCCCGTGGAATTCGCTGTTGGACTGGGTGTGGGGTGTGTGGTGGCGGGCAGAGCGAGGAAGCCAGGGGTTTTTTGCCGGTTGTTTTTGTTGTTCAGTGGCTCAGTCATGTCCGATTGTTTGCGACCCCATGGACTGCGTGCATCCCTATCCTTCACCATCTCCCGGAGCCGGAGTACCTAGAAAATGGGCTTCCCAGGTGGCTCAGGGGTAAAGAATCCTCCTGCCAATGCTGGAGATGTGGGTTCAATCCCTGAGTTGGGAAGATACTCTGGAGAGGGAAATGGCACCCCACTCCAGGATTCTTGCCTGGAGAATCCCATAGACGGAGGAGCCTGGTGGGCTCCAGTCCACTGGGTCACCCAAGAGTTGGACAGAACTTAGCGACTAGACAACAACCACCTAGAAAATGGAGTTTTCATTAACTGAGAGGAAGAGGCAGGATGACAACTCTGGGGAAAGAAGACAGGAACATAGGATGGAGCGAGATAAGGGAGGTCTCCAGCACACAGATCTGTGAGCTTCGGAAGAGGGCCAGGCTCCCGGGTGTCCTCAGCAGACAGAAGCTGCAGGCTGAGGTGACATTTAGAAGCTGGGGGCTGCTACAAAGGAGAATGGGGGTCACCAAGGAGGAGGAGGAGAACCAGGCAAGTGTGGTGGTAGGGCGGCCAAGTGAGGAGGGTGCATCGGAGAAGAGGGAGTGGGCAGCGGGGACAAATCCTGCTGGAGAGACCAGGAGGACAGAACGGAGACCTCACACTGTATCCACTGACTGTACATACATCACTGGAACCCCAGCAGGACGGTTCTGGGGGATCAGTGGGAAGAGGGACAAGAGCCCGACTAGGTGGGTTTTTAAGGAGAATGGAAGGAGGGAGACTGAAGACAGCTTGGAGAAACAGCTCCTGGAGGGCTTTTGCGTAAGGGGAAGGGGAAATGAGACAGCAGTAGCTGGAGGGGGCAGAGGGATCCTAAGACAGTTTTTGGTGGTTTTTATCCCCCCCTCTGGTTTCAGTTTTAGGATAGGAGAAGCAACAGTGTGTGAACAGATGGGAATGATTGGACAGAAGGGAAAGAGAGCAGAATTACTTGATCGGCATCGGCTTGAAGGGTGGGATCTTGTGGACAAGTGGACAAGTGGGCTTCCCCTGGTCATCCTGAGTGAGAGGATGGGTGAGGAGAAAGTGAGGACAGCGCGGCACGTGTGCAGTGGACCAGCGAGTGAGAGGGAAAAGATCAGGGCAAGAAGGTTGTGCAACACTGGATGGATGCAGGCAAAACGTTTAGCACCGGTCACCCGGTGATGGAGGGAGGAGGGACAGAGGCAACAGGCAGGCCCAAGTTCAAATGCCGCTACTGCCCTTGCCCAGCTGCTTGACGTGGAAGTCACTTAACCGCTCTGAGCCTCGTTTGGCCCATCTGTTAAATGGGGGGTGGGGAAAGGATCGTAAACCCATAGACGACGCGGCGGGGAGGCACAGGGAGTGCTCCGTACCTGTGGGCCCCCGGGCTGATGGAGGTCCAGCCCCAGGCGCCGCGAGCCGCGAGGACTCGCAGGACCCCCTCGGGGCGGGGCGGGGCGAGGCGGCGCTGACCCCGCCCCGGGACTGAGGAGCGGCGCTCCGCCTGCAGGTCTCCCGGCCCTGCCCGCCCGCCGCCTGCCGCCCGCCTGCCGCCCGCCCGGCCCGCGGGGCCGCCTTGTCCGCCGCCTGGAGTCGCAGGAGCCAGAGGTACGAGTAGCCGGGCTCCGGGGTACAGACCAGGGGGCGCCCGGGGCCGGGGCGAGGAGGCACGCTCCGAGAGAAGGAAGGGGCAGGGGCTGCGGAGGGCTCGGCCACCTCCCGCCGGGACCACCTGTTCCGGAGGGTCGCTCGCGTGCGCACCGATTGTGCGCTCTGGTTCCCCGACCGCCGCCTCCGCCCCAGAGGCACCCAAAGTTGAGCGCGGCGGCTGGGCTGGGAGCCCAGCCCGAGAAGGGAGGGCGCGCCCCGCCCGGGAGCCCTCCGGGCAGCGCCGCCCGGGCGGGGGTCCCCGCGGCAGGAGCAGAGCGGCCATGGGGGCGAGAAGCCCCGGTCCGAGGTCCGGCTCCCACGGCCCACGCTGCGCCCTTGGGCGAGCCGCGTGGCTCTGCCTGGGGGAGCGCATAAGTCCCGGAGGCCTCGCCGCCGGCCGCGATCGCCGCTGGCCCCGAGGGGAGCCGCTGGTGAGAGGGGTGGGGGGAGCAGCCGGCTGCGGGGAAGACTGCAGGGGGTGGGAGGCGTCCCCCTGGGCCTTTGAGGATGCTGAAGCTTTGGACGGCGAAGGGGGGAAGGGCTCTCTCCAGGTGGAGAGACCGCCCGGGTCGGAACTGGGAAGTGGGGAGGGCAGGGTCTAAGCGCTCCGTCTCGGGGATCGGGATCTGCAGACCACCCCCTCTTTCCGGCATGCTTCTCTCCTCCAGATAGGAAACGTCGAGTCCCAGCGGGAGCTGTGGTGCGCTGGCAGAGGCTCTTTCCGGGGATGTCCAGCCTCAGTCCACGCCCCTTGGCGCTAGCCGAGTCCCCTGGCCTCAGTTTCCGCTTCTGACACATGCGAGGTAGAGGTTCCCACCTCCCGGCCAGACGCAGCCGAGCCCCCCAGCTGTGAGAGGGTTAGGAGCCACCTCCCCTGACCTCGCGGCCCTCTCCCGGGAGGACACCCTTTTGCTCTCCGCCAAATACGGAGTGATCGGCGGCTCCGTGGTGGCCCTTTGGGGGTCTCTGGAATCACTCTGTGCCCTCCTCCTTCAAACTCCCCGGGGCACCTGGTGTGCTACCCGTCTGGAGCCCCCTCCACCCCCACCCCAGCTGCCCAAGGAGTCGTCCTTTGTTACCACCTCCCCAAGATGGGGGAATCACCCTGCCCAGAGCACAAAGCAGGGCCCAGGCTGGCCGCCACTGTCCCCTCCTGCTCACCCCTGTTCCCACTCCAGAGAGCCCGGTAGCCAAACCAGGCCCAAATAAAAAATAAAAAAGGAGAGTCAAGATGGAACTTTCTCAGTTGCTCCTTTTCCTTCCAAGCCTGTTTCCCGTCCCTGCTTGTCCACTGTGGCCGCTCCATGTTAGAGGACAAACGCCGAAGTGGAAATTCTTTGACATTTTGTTTTGCTTCCTTGTACCCGTTGAAGCCCTGTAGCTGCCTGGGCTAGTGGACTTGCTCCTGGTGTGTGCGGGGGTTGGCAGAATCTTTCAATGTGACTTGTGCTTAGTCGCTCCGTCATGTCCGACTCTTTGCGACCCCGTGGACTGTAGCCCGCCAGGCCCCTTTGCTCATGAGGATTCTCCAGACAAGAATACTGGAGTGGGTAGCCTGTCCCTTCTCCAGGGGAACTTCCCGACCCAGGAATTGAACCAGGGTCTCCTGCATCGCAGGCTGATTCTTTAGCAGCTGAGCTGCCCTGGGGAAGGTGACTTACTTGGAACTTAAGGAAGCTGTGACACACCACATCATCAAGTCGACCCCTGTCAGCCCCTTCCACAGGGCCGTGGAGGTCTGTCTGGCTCTTCAGGGACCCAGCGCAGTGGAGAATGCTGTTCCCCGTGGGTCAGAGTTGGTACCAGGGCAGAGTGAGACAAGGTGGCTGCCAGGGGCATTTGTAACCAGATGGGAAGAGGGGTGGATGAGAAAAGGGGAGCTTAATCTGTGAAAACAGCTCTTCCCCACCCTGTCCCCCCATCCTCATCCTACCAGCTGCCCCACGTCCTGGTGGGGATGGTCCCACCTTCAATCCAGCCACCCAAGTTGTGCTCACTACCGTGCTGTCTGGAATGCACTTTCTCCCGGCCAGGTACCTCCAGTTGACTGATCTGCCCTGCATCCCATTGCCTTCCTCCTCCTCTCCAGATTGGAAGCTCCTGGAGGGAGGAAACTTGCCAGAAGCCTAGAGCCCAGTCTGACATAGTAGGTGTTTACTGCCTTTTGCTTGAATGAATGAACTGAAAGTAGGGGGTAAAACTCCATATTCACATCACTTGGAGCTATGCTGTGCTTAGTCACTCAGTCATGTCTGACTCTGTGACCCGTGGACCATAGACCCCAAGCTCCTCTGTCCATGGGGATTCTCCAGGCAAGAATACTGGAGTGGGTTGCCATGCCCTCCTCCAGGAGATCTTCCAACCCAGAGATCAAATGACTGTCTGAGCCACCAGTTATCACTTGGAGATAACTGTTGTTAAAATTTGCCAGACTTTTTAAAAAACACATTGATACATATTTGAATGGGCTTCCCTGGTAGCTCAGTGATAAAGAACCCGCCTGACAATGCAGGGGACTCAGCCTCCATCCCTAGGTTGGGAAGATCCCCTGGAGAAGGAAATGGCAACCCACTCCAGTACTTTTGCCTGGGAAATCCCATGGACGGAGGAGCCTGGTGGGATCCAGTCCACAGGGTTGCAAAGAATCAGACATGACTGAGTGACTAAACAACAACAACAACATATTTGGATATCTTGTTTATACAAACGTTGCAAATTCCTCATCTTTCTCAAATTCTTTTTTTATATTTTTCATTGCTTAAATATTGTGACATCATATTTAGTTAATGAATTTCATTTGATATTTAGGTTTTGTTTGGGTTTTTTTTAAATATTTGGCTCTTTTAGATAGTATTACATTGAGTTCATAGATAAATTTATGCATTGCCAGATATTTTCTTCTGGAGAGGGAATTACCTGGTAGTCAGTGTAGCATCAGCTGGCTCTCCAGAGGAACTGTGCCGTTGTGTACTTACTTAGGCTGTGAATGTGCATTTCCTGTTATTTCCTGGAATTGAAATTACTGGGGTCAAAGAGTATGAACATCTAGTATCTTTGGGTGTTTCTTATTCACTTGTTTGAATTCATCAGTGAGACACTTGCCCCTTGTCTGGTCTCTTAGTGGCAAAGATCTTCTCCCAGGTTATGACTAGGCTATTACTATTTCTGCTGCTGATGGTGTGTGTATTTGAGCAGCACGTTTTAAATTTTTATTTTACTGTATCTGTGCTTTTGGATAAGGGAGGCTTGGCTGCATTTATAAACTGATGGGAAAGAGCCAGGCGAGGGAGTAGCTGAAGTCCCTGAAGAGGGAGGGGCAGGTCGGTAGATGAAGTCCCAGAGGATGCTGCAGGCGGGAGAGGGCTGGAACTGGTCCAGAGGGGGGCCTTCTGAGCTGGTGAGGACAAGAGGTGTGAGGGAGGGGCTGGGAGGGCATCTTATGAATCAGCTTTGATCTTCCCAGAGAAGAAAGTAAAAAAAGCATCATCAGCGGGTTCTGGACCTGAGGCCCCCAGCGCCCTGTGCTGTTTGCCAGCCTCATTTCCCTTGAGTTCTCCTTGTTTCCCTGGGAGGTAGGAGGTGTTATCATCCCCATCGACAGACTCCAGAGGGGAGGGAAGTGCCTTGCCCCCTGCACTCACCGCCTGCCCTTGAGAGTCCTTTCCGAGCCTCCATCTCTAGTAGCTAGCGGGAAACAGTACCCATCTTCCTGTGTCTAGAGCTTGGTGAGCGAGCATCCCTTCCTCTCCTGCCTGCCTCTGTCTTCCCTCTGGACAGACCCCAGTGGGGCCAGGAGCTTCCAGTTCCGCAGAGCTGGCCATAGGGACTAGGAGGGCCCCTTCCACTCAGGGCAGTGCCCACACACTCTTCTGTCACCCAGTGCTGCAGGGGCACACGGCCTTCTGGATGTCACACTTATGCAAAGTCTGAGTTGCTGGGTAGACGTGAAAGTAAAACAGAAAAGTAGTCCTTACATCCCATGAACGGCTTGATTTGAAAGTGCAGACGCCATTGTGCCAGATACAGATATGGGGCCCAGAGACACCCGCCCCAACCCCTCCCCAAGTGTCTATAGTCATCAGTTGCTTTTCTCCAGCAGCTTCCAAGGCAGTCTCCTGATTTGAGGGCAGGCTTCTGGCTTAGACAGGAAAGAATCCACCTTCAGTGCAGGAGACCCGGGTTTGATCGCTGTGTCCAAAAGATCCCCTGGAAAAGGGAATGGCAACCCATTCCAGTATCCTTGCCTGAAGAATTCCATGGACAGAGGGGCCTGGTGGGCTACAGTCTATGGGGTCGAAAGGAGTTGGACTTGACTAACACTTTCACTTTTCTTTCCATTGATCAAGCCCCCACCTGACTCCAGGGCTTTTGTTAACCCGATCTTTTTTTAAAACCCCCTCAGCCCTCTTGAGCTGTCAGCCCCATCTTACAGATGAGGAACTGAGAGTCAGCTGCCTCCCCTTGACCACAGCAAGATCTGAGCCCCTGGCCACAGCGCAGTCCCAGTTGAATGGGACTGAGTTACAGACAGAGTTATTTCACCTGGCAGAGGGTGTTTGAATCCCAGCTGGGCCTCGGTTTCCAATTCTTAAACTGTAATTGATAATAAGAGGACCTGCTTCACTCAGCTATTGGGAAGATTAAACAAGTTACTGAAGGAAAAACCGCTCCAACCAGTGGCTCTGCATGGTAAGCCCTCAGGAAATATACACTGTTGTTAGTATTAAACCACATAGCTCCATTCCTGACGGGGAGCTTTTAATAAATGCTAACTCGGCCACACCCATTTCTCTTCCGGATGAGAGGATGGGAAGGAGGACAAGCCCTGACACTGGAGAGAACTTGGACTTTTTAAGTCCTTGAGACCAGGGATGACCTGTATGGAGAACAGATTTGTATTTCCTTTGACTTAAGCAGCTCATTTCTAGAAACAGTCCTACAGAAGTAATTAAGAATGTGTTGAGAGATTAAGTGCTAAGATACCAGTGTTGTCTATAAAAGCAAAAAGATAGAAGCTACATTTTCAGCAGTCAAAGTGAAAAGTGAAAGTCACTCAGTTGAGTCTGACTCTGTGCAACCTCATGGACTATACAGTCCATGGAATTCTCCAGGCAGATTACTGGAGTGGGTAGCGTTTCTCTTCTCCAGGGGATCTTCCCAACCCAGAGATTGAATCCAGGTCTGTGCATTGCAGGAGGATTCTTTACCAGCTGAGCTACAAGGGTATGCCCCTCCAGCAGTTAAGGTGGGTTACCCTGGAGAGGTAGGGTATAGAGCTGTGTCTACTGACATAACAGAGGCACGGCATGTATTTCCAGAGTTTAATTCAGGTAGAATTTACACCCCATTGCTTGCATCCAGTTTGATGAGCTTTAGGAAATGGGTCTGGTTATGTAACTACCACCAACTGGTTTTAGGAGACAGGGGCCCCGCATATTTTTAGGTGAAAAATAAAAC